AAATTCTTTAGCTGACCCTCCAACATTAGGCGTGTTTGTAAACTTTATCAGTAGCAGAGCTGACTTATTGGAGACACTCGAAGAGTCTAAACCGTTTAAATACAAAACTGAAGGCATTGTTAATAATATTCATAAATCCAAATCTTTTGCAGTAACATACGAGTGTTCAAACTCAAAACCTTTATCTTGTGCCATTTGTAAAGAAAGTCATTTCCTGTTCCAATGTGACAAGTTTAGAATCTTGCCAGTTCAGGACAGAATCAAGAGAGCTCGCACTTCTAACGTATGTCTTAATTGTCTTCGACCAGGTCATTGCGCACAAAAATGCAAATTAGGCCATTGTAGGTATTGTACTGAAAAACACAATACTTTGCTTCACACAGACAAAGAGTCTCCTAATATGCAAAACATAGCTCTATCTGCCAATCACCTTAATACATCAAGGGTTGTGTTACTGTCCACAGCGCTCGTGAAAGTGTCAGACGCTGAGGGCAATCATCACGATGCCAGGGTCTTACTGGACAACGGAAGCACTGCGAACTTCATATCTGAAGACTTCTGCCGCAAGCTACGTATCCATACTTATCCCATTAAATCTCAAGTAAAAGGCATAAACAATCAGTCCTCGGCTTGTACACATGGCTGTACAATTTTGTTAAAGTCACGACATAGTGAATCTGAGATAGATCTAAACTGCCATGTCATATCAAAGGTTTCTTCATCAATTCCAAATACCTTCATTAATACCAATCACATCCGTTTGCCTAGCAATATAGTCCTTGCCGACCCTAACTTTCATACTCCGTCTTGCATCGACATCCTAGTCGGAGCGGAAATATTTTGGGGTATCATAGGCACGACACGCATTCCGCTAGGTAAAAACATGCCTACATAGTAGATTCAAAATTAGGTTGGCTCGTTACGGGCGTTTTACAGCAACCTAATAAATTATCCTCTCACAGTTCCTCTTTTGTTACTCTTACAGATGACTTACGGCTGGGCCTGAATCGCTTCTGGGAGCTAGATTCAGTCCAACCACAACACAAACAGACATGCGAGGAGCGATCCTGCGAAGACATCTTCGTAGAGACCACATTTCGCGATACGGATGGACGGTTTGTTGTCACTATCCCACTTAAAGAATCACCTGACGTGTTAGGTGACTCATATTCAATGGCCAAGCGTCGTTTCCTTTCTCTTGAACGTCGTTTGGCCAAGGACCCCTACTTAAAACAACTTTATGTCAGCTTCATGACAGAGTACATAGAGTTAGGCCACATGTCCGAGTGTAGTCACCTCAATACTACGTATTCTTATTCTAACTACTTGCCTCATCATGGAGTATTGAATGAATCAAAGTCTACAACCAAGCTTAGGGTTGTCTTTGACGCTTCGGCCCGTACTACATCAGGTAAGTCGTTTAATGACATACAAATGGTTGGTGCTCCTTTACAAGATGACTTATTAACCATCTTGCTTAGGTTTCGTCAACATATGATAGTCGTCAGTGCAGACATCGAAAAGATGTATAGAGTCACTCGCGTGAACGACATGCACAAACCTCTGCAAAAGATTCTTTGGAGAGCAGAACCAACTCATCCCTTAAAAACATACACCTTAAACACAGTGACGTATGGCACTGCTTCTGCACCATTCTTAGCAACCAGGTGTCTCATGCAGCTTGCTAAGGAGTGTGATGATCCATCAACGCGCTCTACAATAGAGCACGACTTCTATGTTGACGATTACTTATCAGGCTGTTCGTCTGTTAGGGAAGCGGTAGACAGGTGTCGGAATGTCATTGCTGTTCTTAAAACAGGTAAGTACAATCTACGTAAGTGGCAATCTAATTCACGTGATGTACTAAAGGCCATTTGCGAGGATCAGGTCAGTTCTGATTTCGTCACTCTTAGTGAAAATGAGTCGTCAAAGACTCTAGGGCTAAACTGGAGCTGCTCTTCAGATACATTTTACTTCTCAATCAGCGTCACTCCCAGTACCAGTACTACAAAACGTCAAATCCTATCGACAATCTCCCAAATATTTGACCCCATTGGCTTGGTTGTTCCTTGCATCGTAGAAGCTAAAATACTAATGCAGCGTCTGTGGCTTACAGGTTGCTCTTGGGATGAACCCGTTTCTGAAGAGTTTCAAAGTGTCTGGAGTGACTTCTTAAATACTCTACCTCTTTTGAATCAATTCAAAATACCGCGATGGGTCTCCTGTGAATCAGTGGCTTCGGTACAGTTGCATGTCTTCACTGACGCCTCTGAAAGGGCCTATGGTGCATGTGTATACATTCGCAGTGAATCAAAAGGTGGGAAGGTACACAGTCATCTTCTAACGGCTAAAAGCAAAGTTGCTCCGGTCAAATCCATGACCATTCCCCGCCTCGAACTTTGTGCAGCATTATTGGGCTCACGCCTTTATGTTAAGGTTCGTCAGTCACTAACATTACAGTTTGACGAGATATACTTCTGGTGTGACTCCACAATAGTGTTAGGCTGGTTGTCTGCATCACCGACGCAACTGAAAACCTTTGTCCGTCATAGAGTTTCTGAGATTCAGGAAACTACTGCGGGAAGGCCTTGGCTCTACGTTCCTTCTCTTTTAAACCCCGCAGACCTCGCTTCGCGTGGACTCAGAGCGGACAAACTACTATCCTCTTCGTTGTGGTGGTCAGGACCCCAATATCTTCTTGAAGGCACATCTTCTTGGCCTCAATTCCCTACATCTACTCATCATGACTTGAAGCTTCCTGAAACGGTGTCGTCCTACCATGTTGATATTCCTAATAAAACAGAAATTCTTATTTGTTCTTTATTTCCTAAACATTCATCCAATCTTTACACACTACAACGTATGATTGCATACGTGTTACGATTTTATAATAAATGTAGAAGACAGTCATCTGCCTATGGTGCTCTTACTTCTACAGAACTAAATTCATCTTTGCATCTTCTTTGCAGATTATCTCAGCAGGAGTCGTTCTCCGAAGAGTACAGTTTGCTTTTAGCAGGCAAACAATTGCCTGCTAAAAATAAGCTTCTTTCCTTATCTCCATTCCTTGATACTGACTCAAACCTAATACGTGTTGGAGGCAGGTTAAGTAATTCATTTTACGACTACAACATAAAACACCCCATTCTCTTGTCCTGTTCGCATATTGTTTGCAAATTACTATTCAATATGTACCACTCACGTCTTTTGCATCCAGGACCTCAACTCTTACTTGCCACGATTCGTCACCATTTCTACCCTCTTGGGGGCAGGAACTTGGCAAAGAAGGTCACACATCAATGCGTAAAATGTTGCAGGATTAAGGCAAGCACTATCCAGCCTGTGATGGGTAACCTTCCAGAGCAACGCTTGCACCTGGAGTTTCCTTTCTTAGATTCAGGCGTCGACTATGCCGGACCTATTATGATAGCTGACCGTAAAGGACGAGGGTGTAGGCTTGTTAAATGTTTCATATGTGTTTTTGTGTGTCTAGCTACCAGAGCCGTCCACCTTGAACTTGTATCGGATCTCACGAAGGAGGCTTTTCTGGCTGCCATGAACCGTTTTATTGCTCGAAGGGGAAAGCCTCGTAATATTTTCTCCGACAACGGTACAACGTTTGTTGGTGCTTTCAATGAGTTGGCCAACTTACTTTCACAAGACTTACAGTTCGACGTGGTTGATCCTGGCATCAACTTTTCATTTATCCCTGCATACACTCCTCACTTTGGAGGACTATGGGAGTCCGCGGTGAAATCCACTAAACACCACCTGAGGAGGGTTCTAGGTTTAACAAATTTAACATTTGAAGAGATGGCAACATGTCTTATTCAGGTGGAGGCGATCTTAAACTCAAGGCCCTTAACTCCACTCTCCAACGACCCTTCAGATCTTATTCCCTTAACTCCAGCACATTTCCTGATTGGACGCTCACTTGTTATGTTGCCTCACCCACAGATCGAGAGTACCAACATCTCCAATCTCCAGCGGTTTCGACGCATCGAGTGCCTCAAACAGCATTTTTGGAATCGTTTCTCTCAGGAGTACATTTTATGGCTGCAGGAGAGAACGAAATGGCAGCGGTCTTCGGGAGAGCTGAAAGAAGGGACTCTCGTTGTCATCAAGGACAAAGGCTTACCACCTCTACTCTGGCTTTTAGGGCGCATCACTCGGGTGCTCCCTGGCAGAGACGGCATCGCAAGAGTCGCCGACATCCGCACACGAAGGGGTGTCATTCGGCGAGCGTTCAACACCATATGTCCTCTGCCTGTGTCTGTTGAAGACTCTTCAACGGGGGGAGGATGTTGAGTCATGCACTCAGTGGCCTCCGCTGCGCACTGGAGGGGATGACGGACGACACGCCAGTCAGCTGTTAGACACTACGAAGCACGTCCGCGCTCGCGCCTTCTAATCCAGTTTAATTATATTAATTTTCTTATAACCGTTATTGTAACAGTCTAGTTAATTAATTATTATATTACGTATTATACAGTCCACAAGTATATTATTTGCTCTCCACTTAACCATCGATCCAACAGCAACAAATTTAAAAATGTGCGCAACAATTACAGAAGCCGCACAACTAATTATCTATAAGAGTCAAATGACCATTTTCGACAACATCTGGCCTAGGTAACACACATTATTTTTTGCCGAAGAAGAAAAAAAAGTTATTATTTTATTAATATGTTGATTACAACAGTAAGTTATGCAAAGAGGCTGAATACTAATCTTATTAATAATTGAACCTATTTGATTTAAAATTTGCCAGAAGTCGCGGGGTACAGCTAGTAAGTAAGAAGATGAAATACTTTCAGCAGTTTCGAAGTTCATCACACACAAGACGCGCTGATGACTAAGATTGATAATGCTTCTATATAATATTTGCGTCGTAGAAAACGAAGTATTTTCCTTATAAAGCTATTTATTTATAATTATTATTTTGTTGTATTTACTTATAATTAGTTTATAGTGCGCTCAAGAGACGTGAAGACGACATTATGTTGATTTGTATTCATTATTTCTTGGTTTTAATTACACAAATATACGCGGGGATAGTCAAAGGTAAGTCATCATTATCATAACATTACGCCTTTTATCCCCAAAGGTTAAGGCAAAGGTGCACATTATGCCACTGTACAATGTGACACCCACTTTTCACTATTTAACTATGTTATGAAAAGTGGGTGTTACATTGTACAATGTAACACCCACTTTTCACTATACAGTCACTGTACAGTGGCATTAAGTGCCGTAATGTGTACCTCCGTCTACTTATTCGGGGACAAATGGGTCACAACATGAGCTGAGCAGCGGGCATAGCTGCGCGGACGTAGCTAAGGGCGCGTCCATAAATTACGTGAGATGTTTAAGGGGGGGAGGGGGTAGACTCAAATCTCATCTAATCTTACGTTGGAGAGAGGGAGGGTCTCGGCAAATATCACGTAATATTTTTTCTGATAAAAACAAAAAAAAATACTATTTTTACCGACTCCATAGTTCATTTTATTCCAGATTGCACATGCTTAAGATATAATTTTACATGCACATGGATTTTTTTTCTTTTTGCAATAACAGAAACGTGCAATTTTCACGTAAACGCGTTGTTTACGTGAAAAACCAACATTTTGAAAAATCTCACGTGAGTTTGGGGGATGGGGGAGGGTGTTGAATAAAATCTAACGAAATCTTACCAAGGGGGAGGGAGGGACAGACAATGAAAAAAACACCTCATGTAATTTATGGACGGCCCCTAATGTGTATTCATTATAATTATTATTGTCGGTAAATACACACTTCGTAATATTATTCCCTCTAATTAGGTAGTTATGTATAACTAACCACGCCATGTCACCCATCACTTCCTGGAAGGCTTATTAGGTACTAATCGGTTTCGGGTAACGTAACCTGTTACCAACTGCTTCCGTTGCTAAATGCTAGCCCACTGTGAGGACCAGCCACAGACACACACACACATACAAACCTTTATGTAGTATTTAAAAAGATGTAACTCTTAGGTCTTTTTTGAGGGGGGAAAATCATCCAATGGCAAAATGAGGCGAAAGGGAGTGTCAGACTCTTACTGACTAAACACCACCCCGTTCCTACTCCTGCACTTCGAGCCGGAGCCCCGGTAACCCGTTAAGTCCTCCGCGGCTCCGTATCGTCATCAGCCCTGTTGGGCTCCATCCGTGGTGGTCTGATGGCTCCTTAAGGCGCACGCGGAACGCGACCCGCCGTACGCTCGGGTCTAGTTCTGATCGGGCGGCGAGTCACCCATACTCGCCGTCCGCAGGCCCGTGCTTACGGTCCCAGAGATCGTCTCGCGATCCCTGACGCCTGGAGTGTCCCTCGCGACGGCTGGAGCATGAGAAAGCTCGTTCCCTCACGCGCTCCACCTCCTCCTTAGCTAGCATGACTGCTTCGCAGAAGGAGGAGATGGCAGCCCAGTCCCCCTCGCTCCGTACTGTGGTCTGAACTTAAGTCTAAGTGTTCATCATTCAATGACGCTCATGCTGAACATAATATGAGTATTGTGTTCAATTAAATCAAGTATTTTTTTATTAAAAGCCTTACGCGTTCATGTTTGACTAGGTACATACAATTAATGTTATACATATTATGCATGTTTTCCTCGTAATTTATAAGCCTACTGTGTTGAAATACATAATTTGAAATTATTTACAATTGTTATAATTATTTGCCTGTTAATTCTTATGATGGACGTTTCAGCAAATAGTAGATTTTGAATTATGAACAGCATTGTATACTGACTAACCACTTTCGCACGGTTTCACCCCTTACCACAGATATAGATCTATATCTGTGCCTTACCTATTAATCGTAGCGTGATGTTTCATAGCCTATAGCCGTCTTCGATAAATGGACTATCCAATACAAAACGAATTATTCAAATCGGTCCAGTAGTTCCTGAGATTAGCGCGTTCAAACAAACAGTCAAACAAACAAACAAACATTTTTCGGATTTTATAATTCTTAATATTATTCAGTTTTTATGTAATAAGTTAGTGGCAGGAAGACGGCAAGTCCTGTAAAGACTTTAATTCAACAACAGTGTCTCGTGATCAACACATCAAACGCGTTTGAGAGGTCGCAGAAGACGCCGAAATCTTCTTGTACCTAATTCCTCCCAAGCACCAAATATTTCCTCCATTACAATGACACCAGCGTCAGTTGTACAACGATGTAGTGTGGGAGAGCCATGCTTCGGCACGAATGGGCCGGCTCGACTGGAGTGATACCACGGCCGAGCAGAAAACCGACGTGAAGCAACGCTTGCGTTTCTTCGTGTGAGTGAGGTTACCGGTGGCCCAATTACCCTCCCCTTCCCCAATCCCTAATTCCTCAACGATCCTCAAACTCCTAATCCCCAAAAGGCTGGTAACGCACTTGTAACGCATCTGGTGTTCCAGGTGTCCATGGGCGACGTCTGTTCGTTTACCGGCTTATGCCATAAAAAAAACCTTTAGTGAAACCGTATTGTTATTGGTAAAGATATAATGTTTGTTAACATGATGGAGCATCCGAGACAGCATTAACTTTTTAAACAGACAGATACAGGCCTATAATTATTGTATTGGTCCTTTAGTATCACCACTTCTGAAAAGCAGGATAACTATGTTGTATTTCATAAAGTCAGGCAAGACAGCGTAGTCTATAGTTTTATTGAAAACTAGCTTTTACCCGCGGCTTCGCTCGCATCACAAAACGATAAAATGTAGCCTATGTGACATATACTGATAAACCAATATACAGCGCCATCTATACCAAGACTTTTGTTTTCAATCGGGAATATCAAATTTTTCCGGAGTTTTTTTTTTTTTTTTTTTTTTAAAAAACGTTGCCCCACACTAGGATTTTCTCCTGTGTCGTGGGTGCGTTTACAAACATACAAGTTCACATACACAATAACACCCAGACCCGAAACAACAATTTGTGGATCACACAAAGTGTTGTCCCGTGCGGGAATCGAACCCGCGACACGTTGCACGGCAGCCGGTTGCCCAGCCACCGCACCAACCGTGGAGTAAAAAGTACCCTATTATTTAATCCGAACTTCTAACTTTACGTCTGCAAAAATTCAAAGCAATCGGTTTAGTAGTTACGGCGTGATAGCGGAACAAACAAACAAACTCACTTTCAGATTTATAATATTAGTACCTAAGGATCAAAGGCAAATACGGAGCACTTCTTGTGCACATGATAGCAAATGAACGGCACTTTGGCTGCACGGTTGGCGCGGTGGTTGGGCAACTGACTGCCACGCAACGTGTCGCTGGTTCGATTCCCGCACGGAACAATTCTTTGTGTGATCCAAAGATTCTTGTTCCGGGTCTGGGTGTCATGTGTAGTGAACTTGCATGTTTGTAAGCGCACCCACGACACAGGAGAAAATTTGAGTGTGGGGAAATGTTTTTAAAAAAATAATAAATAAAGTCGTTGGTAGGAGCTGTTCAATTTTAAGACATGTTTTTATTTTCAGGACCTGATTCGACCCTCATTATAACAAGAGTATTGTCATTAACTTCCAATGTCGAGACGATTGGCTATCACCAGTGGCATCACGATTATGGCATAGGTAAGCAAACCGATTAGTAAATGTGGACTATCGTTGTAGTACTCACTAGATGGCGCTAATGAAGCATGGTTTGGTGTCTATCTAGTAACACCCCATGTCGCGGAGAACCTAACGGGTAACCGGGGCTCCGGCTCGACGTGCAGGAGAAGGAACGGGGTGGTTTTTAGTCAGTTAGAGTCTGACACTCCCTCCCGCCTCACCCAAGCGGGAGAAGTCATTGGATGATTTTCCCCCCCTTAAAAAAAAAGTAACACCCCATACTATTTTAATATTTTTTTTTAATATTTTCAATGTACAGAATTTACACTTGTACAGTTTTATTACATGTATAGATATAGAAGATGTATAAATAAGATTTTTGTTCCAGGTAATACAAGTGACCTCATGCCGGTCGTCAACGGCTCAAAAAGTACGTACCAGTTTTACATTGAGAAATTTGATAATGGATCTAACGTTTACTGCAGGCATATTGACGGTGGTTTGACTGTCAATATCAAAAACAATATTTTATTCAATTGCGGAATGCAACCAATGAAGCTGTTTTTAGTCGATGACGGTTATTGTAAGTATATAGTATCTAACTTATATTTGTTTTTTTTCTGCCGATACGGAGTCGCGGAGAACCTAACGGGTTACCGGGGCTCCGGCTCAAAGTGCAGGAGGAAGTGAAGGAACGGGGTGGTTTTTAGTCAACAAGAGTCTGACACTCCCTCCCGCCTCACCCAGGCGGGAGCATTAATTCGATAATTTTTACCTCTAAAAACAAATTTTTTGTTTCTTTTGTATCTTTTTCTTCATAGAATCATTACAGAACATCAACATCACGTCTTTTATCCCCGAAGGGGTAGGCAGAGCTGCACATTACAGCACTTAATGCCACTGTACAATGTAACATCCACTTTTCATGATTTATGTTATGACATAACATAACATCACGCCTTTTATCCTCGAAGGGGTAGGCAGAGGTGCACATTATACCACTGTACAATGTAACACCCACTTTTCACTATTTATGTTATGAGTCCCATGTAATAGGGGGTGAGCTACTATTGCCATATACCGGGCACAGTTCCAGACTCCTTGCTACTACTGAGAATTTTTAAAAACCCAGTATTTCTTTGCCCGACCCGGGAATCGAACCCAAGACCCCTTACCCGGCAGTCGCGATTGGCTTTTTATATTGACGTTATGAAGTATATCATACAAAATACGATTTAAAGTCGATATTTAAATTACAACTTAATTGCTGGAGACGTGCTTATTAGATTTGCGATGTGTTATGAACAAGGCCTTATTGTAAATTACAATCTAATCAATCCTTACATTGTTGTAACAATGAATTATAAAACACCAAAATTAATGAATTATAAAACACCAAAATTAAAAATTAAACACAAAAATATAACACCAAAATTAAATGTTAAACCGACCCCATACATACACCCACAAGCACACACCAACATACTATACATTTTAAATATAAATATTCTATGTATATACAATATACTATACATTTTAAGAATACCCACTTACATTTTGCACTTACCCACTAATATATTATATACCTGTACTTACCTATATTCCGAACAAATAAATATGTAAAAAAATGTTAACCAAAATGTAATTTATAATAAGCTGGTGACACCCCTAAAATTTGCAACGCCTGAAAAAGGCCGTTAAGCTGTGCCTGCTATTTCATAAGACCTGTATGTATTACCTTAACATGCAAATAAAGAGTTTGAGTTTGAATTACTTTACTTGTAAATTGCAATCTAAACAATCACATTGTTGGTAACTAAGACCTATACTTTTAAATTACCACCTAAACAATCGTTATATTGTTACTAACAAAGATCTAAGCACTCCTCACATTGTTATGAACAAAGCCCTATACATGTAAATTGCAATTAAAGCAATCGATACATCCTGTGGCACTTATACGCGCAAGTATAATTTATCGACTAAGGGATAACCCCCCACCATTGGCCATATAGAATAAAATATACGTCTTAGTTGTGTATAGAGTCACTTCAGATAAAGTTATTCAACTATTAACACCAACGTTTTATATCACACAGTAATTATTGTAAGTCGAAAGTTTTTTTTTTTATTTAATTTATTTAGGGTTAAAATTAACATATCAAACCCATTGTTCCTTATAACTATTAATTAACACATAGTACTTATCCTAGTTGTTTATAAATAATTACGAGGGTCGGTGCTGGGTCTGCGGTACTAGCAAGTAAAACGCTTGTGCTATTTCTGATGCAGGCTCACTTAAAACACTCTGAATGATACCTACGTTCATCTTTGCAATACCATACTTTCTCAGCAACGACTCACGTTCCACCTTATTCCGGACACATTCCATCAGCAAATGTTGCACATCATCAATTTTTCCACAAGTCGGACAATTCGGTGTGTCAGCTTTTCTCATTAGATGTGCAAACTTTGCCATAAGTCGAAAGTTGTGAAGTGTAAAATAAAGAAATTATTAGCAGCACTTGTGGTGTCATTTATAAAAGGGACTCCTCGAGCGCCAACCTAACAGATGACGATAACAGATAACAGATGACCTATTGTCCACGACGCGTCATTTGACGAGCATGCACGCGCTTCGTGGGCAATTTTCATTGTTTCTAAGCAAGATGTGAGCATTTGTCATTTGTACCCCGCCTATTGTCCTTTGTAGGTTGCATGGCGGTTGCACGCATTCGTCAAATGACGCATCGTGTACAGTAGACCTAAGTACATTTGGTCTAAGGGTACCTAGCAAGCGTATATATATATACGACCAAATGTTGAATTAAATAATTTGTTTTATTTTCAGACGAGGACAAGGTGGATAAAATTAGTGAATATAACGATAACTCAACATTCAGATTTGAGTGTGTCAAGCATCCTTATGTTTCCAGTACTACAAGTACGTACCGTCAGATTCCATCTACACCTAGAACTAGGCCTCTAACACCACCCGCATTGAGCAAGCGTAGTTTATACTTAAACATTCGCGCGAAGACGCCATTGGTCAGCAGTGGCCACTCATAGACTGTTGATAGGGTTGCCATCCGTATTTTATAATAAAGTATTGTACGTTATTTAAGGTCATTGTACTCTATACTTTATAAGAATAATAAAGTACACGAAAATACTTTATTTTTGCAAACATTATTTCTATTAAAGTCGTACGTATTTTTCGGTAAACTTATCGATTCGATATCGATATTTATTTATCTATTTATGTTGAATCGATTTCGCCACTCGCCAGCGCCACTTAGACAATTTCTAGTAAAGATGCAATTGTTTAGTAAAGGTACTAATTTAATACAAACTGCAAAAAACAATATATTTTTTATATAATACTAAATAAGAATAAATTGTACTTTATTTTTGTACTGTGTACTTTTTTTCTTATCTATAATCGTCAATGTACTTTAAATACCAAAATAAAGGTGGCAACCCTAGCTGTTGATGATAATGATGATAATAATCACGAGGTTGATAATTATTTGCAAACATACAAGTTCACATACACAATGACACCCAGACCCGAAACAACTGTGGCGACGCATGCCACATGTCAACGGATGACGTCACAAGAATCCTACATCGCACATGCAAAGTTTACAAACGAATAAACACAGATAGAAAATCCCAACGAACAACTGTTGGGCAGAAAGCCCGCCAGGCACGATCACCTCGCCTGGTCGGAGGATCCTCCTTTTCCGATCTTAGGGAACTATACTCTCTGTTCCCTAAACAACAATTTGTGGATCACACAAAGAGTTGTTCCGAGCGGGAATCACGGCAGCTGGTTGCCCAGCCACCGCACCAACCGTGCAGTCAACATGTCAATTACAGTAAAACCCGCTTAAGACGATTTCTCAGGGACCTTACCAAAAACGCGTCTTAAGCGAGAAAGCGTATTATGCGGGATAGGGATAATAAAAAGAGTACTACTTATTATTATGTAATATGTTCTAATTTTTGTAATTATACATTTATAAATTACGTTAAATACGTAGTGTAATTAAAATTACATTATTTAAAATAATCACTTATTTTGGTTTGACAAAAAGATTTTGATGCATTAGAAATTAAAAGATTTTCAACATAATTCAACTTTTGCAGTGCGTCTTCGCTTTGATCCATAGAAGCTACATAGCGTCTTAAATCATAAACAGCTGATAATGCCTGGGCGTTTGACAAAACCGGAGTTGACTCATCTTCGTCTTCATCATTATCACTTAGGGCTTCGTTTTGTGTGTTGTTCACATTCTTAATAAGATCTTCAATTGATTGAATTTCGTACGGTGCTACATTGTCATCAATAGAAGAGTATCCAGAAAAACCCTGCAGTATCTCGGGTTCTTCTTCTTCCAACACGACGTCAACCACGTTGTTCTCTCGCTGCTCGGCGTGTATTAAACGGGATGACGAATCGTATTAAGCGTTAAGAAATGTATGAAAATATATTTTAAGTTGCAGGAACCGACGTAAAATGGCGTATTATGCGAGAAATCGTATTAAGCGTGATCGTCTTAAACGGGTTCTACTATATCGCGTGCTTCAGTTTCAGATGTGTTCGTTGGCTGGATCAATCCGAACACAGACAAAATGTCAGTGCTCGCCAAGAGACGAGGAGATAATATAAGAGTTAAACTAACGCTTAACAAAACATATAATTCAAGCATGATTTGTTGTATATACTACACCACGAGGGCATCCAGCTCGCACACACAAATACAGCGTTACGTTACTCATAAAACCCGATTGATATGGAAAGGTAGGCCAATATATTATATTTCTATATTTCTATTAGTTTACTTAATCTAGCTCATGTAGTGTAGATGTCCAGTCAATAAGGATGTAGCGAGGTTGACTGTCCAAGCGACACACGTACTTGGGTATCGTCATGAGCTAATGTTCACATGTAAACAGCAGCTCATGTAGTGTAGATATCCAGTCAACAAGGATGTAGCGAGGTTGACTGTCCAGGCGACACACGTACTTAGGTATCGTCATGAGCTAATGTTTACATGTAAACAGCAGCTCATGTAGTGTAGATGTCCCATCATCAAGGATGTAGCGAGGTTGACTGTCCAGGCGACACACGTACTTAGGTATCGTCATGAGGTAATGTTCACATGTAAACAGCCGCTCATGTAGTGTAAATGTCCAGTCAACAAGGATGTAGCGAGGTTGACTGTCCAGGCGACACATGAACTTAGGTATCGTCATGAGCTAATGTTCACATGTAAACAGCAGCTCATGTAGTGTAGATGTCCAGTCAACAAGGATGTAGCGAGGTTGACTGTCCAGGCGACACATGAACTTAGGTATCGTCATGAGCTAATGTTCACATGTAAACAGCAGCTCATGTAGTGTAGATGTCCAGTCAACAAGGATGTAGCGAGGTTGACTGTCCAGGCGACACACGTACTTAGGTATCGTCATGAGCTAATGTTCACATGTAAACAGCAGCTCATGTAGTGTAGATGTCCAGTCAACAAGGATGTAGCGAGGTTGACTGTCCAGGCGACACACGTACTTAGGTATCGTCATGAGCTAATGTTCACATTGATCTTATTTCAGATAATAGTGAGCCTCAAACAACAAAATCAACCACTTCTACGAGCACAGCTAAGTATACTGAAACTGATGTGGAATCAACTGAGAGAGACCAAAGTTTTAAAGAAGACGATATAAAATATTTAGCCAATAGAAGTAACGATTCTGAAGATGGATTAACATTAAATGGAAATAAGTTTAAGAATAACGTCAATCGTGAACAAAGCGACACACATGAAACTAAAGGTTAGTATTTAAAACAAACGTCTTTTTTTAAATGGGAATGGGGAAAATCATCGATTGACTTCTCCCGCCTGTCAGACTTACTGACTAAAAACCACCCCGTTCCTACTTCTGCCCTTCGAGCCGGAACCTAATAGTGTATAGTACTAAATATAGTGTAGGAGAGCCATGCTTCGGCACGAATGTGCCGGCTCGACCGGAGTGATACCACGGCCGAGCAGAAAATCGACGTGAAACAACACTTGCGTTGTGTTTCGTCGTGTGAGTGAGGTTACCGGAGGCCTAATTACCCCCCTTACCCTTACCCAGTCTCCCCAATCCCCGAATCCTTCACAATCCTCAAATTCCCAATTCCCAAAAGGCCGGTAACGCACTTGTAACGCCTATGGTGTTGCAGGTATCCATGGGCGACGCCAGGGCCGCATTTAGGGGGGGGCAACCGGGGCGAAAGCCCTGGGGCCTCCACAAGCAGGGGGCCTCCACAATAGAGACTTCGGAAAAAAAATCTTTCAAATTTCGACTAGTAAACCTAGTAAACATCTTTTCTTTGATATTTTTTTTTCGCTTTTACCTTTACCTACAGCCTAAAGTACTTTATACATACATGATTATTTGATTATATTCATTTTAAATATTAACAGAAACAGAAATCATTGATCTATATTTGTTCACTCCAATCAGGCAATCAGTGAAATATCAAAATCTCAAATGGCTCTGATAAGCACTTCCAATTTACTACGCATCTTGAGGGAGTACCCCAATGGCTCAATGGCTCAGTGGGATGGTACTTGCCCGCAACCTCGGAGATTGGCTATTCGATTCCGTGTCTCGACCATTAAAAAAAATATATATATATTAATTAAAAAATAAAATTATATATAAAATTTAAAAAATAATTAAAACGATATATATACAATACATTAAAAAAAATATATATAAATTAATTGCAATATGTGAACAATTGGTATTCTTCAATTCTTAAACTCGAAATCTGTCGAGCGTCCTCGAAATCTATCGAGCATCCTCGATCGTTTTCGAGCGTCCTCGATTGTTTTCGAGCGTCCTCGAAATCTATCGAGAGTCCTCGATTGTTTTCGAGCGTCCTCGAAATCTATCGGGCGTCCTCGAAATCTATCGAGCATCCTCGAAATCTATCGAGCGTCCTCGAAATCTATCGAGAGTTCTCGATCGTTTTCGAGCGTCCTCGATCGTTTTCGAGCGTCCTCGATTGTTTTCGAGCGTCCTCGAAATCTATAGGGCGTCCTCGATCGTTTTCGAGCATCCTCGATTGTTTTCGAGCGTCCTCGAAATCTATCGAGCGTCCTCGAAATCAATCGAGCGTCCTCGATCGTTTTCGAGCGTCCTCGAAATCAAGCGAGCGTCCTCGATCTCAATCTGGAAAATAATTTGGGGCAAGGGGGCCTCCACTCCTTTGTTACCCCGAGGCCTCTGGACCCCTAAATCCGGCCCTGGGCGACGCCGATTGCTTACCATCAGGTGATCCGTCTGCTCGTTTACCGGAATAAATAGTTAATATTTTTGTGTAGCTTTCTCTGTTCGTTACAGATAGCAAGTCTCTGATACTTGGTGTCGGTTCCGGTGTCCTATTGGTGCTGACAATTATTGTACTAGCGGTGGTGGTGCTGGTAAAAAAACACAACAGTAACTCTGGAAGAGGAAGTCCACGACTGGATCAGAAACACGTGAGTTCACAGCATTGTAATATTGTAACTAGCCACTATTATAAGAATAAGAATAAGAATAAGAATAAGAATAAGAATAAGAATAAGAATAAGAATAAGAATAAGAATAAGAATAAGAATAAGAATAAGAATAAGAATAAGAATAAGAATAAGAATAAGAATAAGAATAAGAATAAGAATAAGAATAAGAATAAGAATAAGAATAAGAATAAGAATAAGAATAAGAATAAGAATAAGAATAAGAATAAGAAATAAGAATAAGAATAAGAATAAGAATAAGAATAGAAGAATAAGAATAAGAATAAGAATAAGAATAAGAATAAGAATAAGAATAAGAATAAGAATAAGAATAAGAATAAGAATAAGAATAAGAATAAGAATAAGAATAAGAATAAGAATAAGAATAAGAATAAGAATAAGAATAAGAATAAGAATAAGAATAAGAATAAGAATAAGAATAAGAATAATTTATTTCAATGTACTCCACTTACAATATGTTTTTTTAATTACTATATTAAAGTAAAATTATGCTAGATTATTAACTAGATAATAATAATACATTATTTTGCTTAAAACTATGAACAGAAAAATAATAGGGCTAATTTTAATATTTGTCGCGATTTGCTTGAACTAGGTTTATGCAACCTGTGTTTCAAGTCATCACTTTATTACTATTCATGTTAAATCTATACAGGTTTGTATTATCAACTACTTATATAAAATTTAGAAATTATAAAACAAATTAAACTATGTATGTAACCTACTTACAGTAATTGATCTTAAAGAATAATTAACTACGTCAGTACATCTAAAAGTTTTTCTGTGTCATTATAATTTAATTTAAGCAAGTACTCCGTCATCATGCTACAACATTTCTTATGACTAAGGCTGTATACATTACAAGATTTATTTATCTTATTGTACAAAAACGGTCCGAGAAACATATAAAATCTAGTGCAATAGGCATGTTTAGTTTGTCTAGTTTGGCAGACCAGATTATTCCTTTTCTTTACCAAAATTTCACGGTCATAGGTGAGTTCCGAATGTTGTAAAGAACGATGTTTAATAACTTAATTGCCGTACTGTAAGAACCTTACATGCCTGTAAGTTCGTGAGTAGGAAATCTAAAAGGGCGAAATGTCGCAACCTTGAGGATGGCCCTTGAGCACGTTCTAGTGGAAGCATTATTGTTTTAGCGGCACCTCCCATGATGTTATGCAATATGTTGTATTGATTGGCACAAAGCTAAATAGACTTGTTTAATTAATATATAGTCAGCTACATTGCGTAAATTTTTAATACGTACATTAATTTACGGACTCTTGTGCATAATAAATCTATATGTTTGCGAAAAATTTAAATTTGCGTCAAGCGTAAACACCGAGGTATTTAATAAAATCAGTTTTGATAAGCGCTGGACAGGTGCATGCTGAGTCACCAAGAGTAGTACATTTGTGTGCATAAATATTTATATCAGTCATATGTAGGTTATGGTTTCTCATTGTAAACATGATATATTTCGTTTTATCTGCATTTAGTGTTAATAAATTTCTAGAAAGCCAAATAGTTACAGCAGTGAATCCTTTTTGAGCGTGTATGTAGAGCTCTTCCCGTGTATTAGCGGAGAATACAAGAGCTGTATCATCCGCGTAGGACATTAGAATGCCGTTTTTAATTGATAATTCACATAAATCATTTATAAAATTAGAAATAGTGTAGGTCCCAATATACTTCCTTGTGGTATTCCATAAGAACTATTTTTAACTTCTTTACTTATGTATTGGTCAATCTTTACAGACTGGTAACGGTCGGACAGATACTCAGAGAAAAGAAGTAACTGCTTACCTCTGATCCCAAGTGACTCGAGTTTCCGCAATAATATTGAGATAGAAATTGTGTCGAATGCCTTGGCGAGGTCCAAGAAGATACCATAGTGTACATGCTATTGTCCAGATTAGAGGTAATATAGTTAGTAAGTCCATGCACCGCTTGGTTAGTTGATCTCTTTGGTCTAAAGCCAAACTGGTTGTCAGAAAGCAATTTTCTTTCCTCAAGATATTTTACAGTCTGTTATTAATAATTTTTTCTATATCTTTGAGATACCAGTTAGTATTGAAATGGGTCTGTAGTTAGTGACATTGGTTTTGTCTCCCGATTTGAAAACTGTGTAATAATTGATTTTTGAGTGATTTTGGAAAAGTACTAGTTGATAGGCATAGCTGAAAAATGTATGTTAATGGACCCACAAATATGTATTTATATTTTTTTAGTATGTAATTAGGAATACCGTCCCAGCCGACTGCACAAACATCCTTTAGACCGGTTATTATTGTTAGTATTTCATCCTCGTCAGTGTCTAGCAACACGAAAGAATCACGTGTAGTTGATGGTGATGCAGCAGTCAAGTCGTAGGTAGATGAGTTTCTGTACTGTAGGGTATTTTCGGCCAAGTTTTTACCGACATTTGCAAAGTAGTTATTGATATTATTCAATGCTATAGAAGGGTCTGACTCAGTCGATGGTAGGTCAAGTGGAGGGTCAGTATTAATTGATCTAAAAGTATTTGAATTTATAAATTTCCAAATGAGTTTACTGTTATTGCTGCCTTCTGTAACTCACTTTTTCATATTGAATTTTCACCTTTTTTATTAAATTATTGCAAAAATTCTATATCTTTTATATGTCATCAGCAGAATCTTATTTTCTGGTGCTAATTTTGATTTGCGATGAAGCATGTCTCTGTTACGAATACATCTAACCAGACCCGGTGTTATCCACGGCTTGATGTTGTAGTACTTCTGTGGAATTTTTACTGTGTATGTATTTTTATTTATTACGTGCTGTACTGAGCATATAAAATTATTTAACGAAATATTTGCATCGTTTGCATTGTAAACAGGGTCAAAATTAATATTGTTAACGTTATGGTCTAGTCTTGTCATGTCGATTTTAGAATGACTGCGGGTGCAATTTTTTCTGGGTAATGTAATTTGAAGTGCAAGTAATACTGCTTGGTGATCAGTTACGGAAGAATTAGTCACTATTGTTTTTGCTTGTTTATTGGTTTTGATGATGATATGATCAAGACACGAACCGCTTTGATGAGTGGGATGAGTATGAGCTGGTAGAAGTCCATAAAACGAACAAATGTTAAGATAATTATGAGCACGCGTGTCGGTTTTCCCGGATGAAATGTTAATATTTATGTCCCCTATAAGTATGATGTTTTTATATGATGCCACTTTCTTTAGATTCGTGTCAAGTGAGTCTATAAATTTATCTATATTTTGGGAGGGAGGTCTATATACGGCAATAATTACTATATCAGGATTTATAGTAATTAATAAACAGTTAGTATCTGCAAACTGTGGTTCTGAAATGCTTATATTTAAATTATTTTTTACATAAACTACTAAGCCATCATTCTGATTTATGATTCTATTCGTTCTGTGAGAGCTGTATCCTGTAAGAGTTGGTTAAAACGGTCATGACATTTGTCAACCAGCACTCTGTTAAATAATAATATCACATCTAATATCGATATTTTGCAATAATACTTGGAAATCCAGCATATTTTTATTTATGCTGCGAATGTTTTGCGTGAGTAATGTTAATGTTTTTTTCCCAGTGTTAATAAGTTTTTGCACTCATCAACATTACAAATCCAAGTATCTGACACAGAAAAACAATCTAAGTCACCAATAAGTTGGTTTGTCATATTAAAATATTAACTAAGAAGTGTATAAAAATATGTGCTAACTAAGCTAAACTAATTACTGGCGCTCTTAGGCGCCTTCATAATCTATGGTGTTAATATAGTAGTCCTCAGCAAATTTCCGGGCGGGACAACTTACGTCACCAGTCGGGTGGTCGCATTTCCTTTTGAAACGCTTACATGTCGCGCAATTTGGAGGTGCAGCTTTGTTGCTGCATTCCTTGAAGGAGTGACCAGAGTCACCGCAGAGGTGGCAGGTAGGGCTCGTTTCACGGCAGTACTTTGCTGCATGTCCAAATTGCTGGCAATTAAAACATCTCGTAACTATTGTGTAGTCCCGGACGGCACAAGAGGTCCAATTTATAAAAAGTCGACCTTGGCCTAGCAAAATTTTACGTATGTTAGGTGGCACCTCTAGCACGTAATTATAGGTCGAGAGATTTTTCTTGCCCGATTTATGGCTAAGTTTTATGGTAGCCAATGTGGGCTCACGTGGGGAATTGGGCATTTTATCGGAGAGGTTTTGCTCGTAGATACAGTCTAGAACTTCCTTTTCTGATAACGCTGGGTACACCAATCACGGCAATCTTCGGTCGTCGTTTGGCCGGCTCCTGTACAGTGAGGCCCGATGAAACTAATTTCTCCGCATTTTTTAGTTTATCAATATCCGCTTTATTTTCGGTGCTTATTATAACACCACCATCTCGAATTTTCCTCACACTACGAACATGCAACTTCATGACTTCAGGCGAGATAATTTTTTGAACGAGTGATTTAGTATCGTCACTTGTTTTGGTTTTGTCACTAGGATAGATAGCCACAGAGCTCAAGTTTTGTGGACGCACATAGTTATCTGCACCCTTTTTCACGACATTTGCAAATGAGCTAGTTTCATTTAATTTAAATGAGCTAGAAATTTTGTCTTGGAACTGTTGTAGGGACTGTGCAAGGGTTTGTTGTTCTCTAAGGTTTTGGATAGTAGAGTGCGCTAGAAGTGCTTTTTGTTTTAAGGCCTGATAAGCAACAGCCATCTCGGATGTGCCCTTTAGGGCATTACGGCACAAGTTTTGCACTTTGGTCTTATGTTCCGAATTCATCTTCCCATCTGACACGATAGAACAGACTTCGGCTAGGATAGAGTCCATATTTCTGGTCCATTTTAAAATTTCTTCAGTAGGGATCAGATCCCGGAGTAGGATAGGCTCCTCGGAAGCATTAGGTTTGGGCTCAGAAGGACGATATTCTTGAGTCGGTGTTGGTGGTGGACTTCGTCGCAGCAGCTGGCTACGGCTAAACGGGCTGGCGCCTGGATTAGACATATTCCGCCCACAGAACACAAAATTCTTTAATATAGTCTTATTTCATTATTGTAAGTATAACACTAGAATAGTTCCACAACAAGCACTTCAATAAGTTCTAATTTGCTTACACTGCATAAAACAATTTAAAATTATTGATTTAATTTCATACTATGGAGAAAGTGAACACGTCCGCGTAATAAAGCGATTGAATCGCAATTCCACGACGATTGCCACGACTTCGTTCTCATGATTCACAGCTCCTGACCGCAGGTGATAGCGTGATAATATGTAGCTTATATATTGACTACACCTGTTAGTTTGGGACTCGAGGTGGCGCTCCACAAGTCCGAGGCCATGTGTTTTCATGGCCACGGGAAAGCGCCACCTCCAGGTGGGTCCCAAAATCCCATATAACGTTCTGCTGCGTTCAAACGCATCCTCCTCAACCTCGGGGGGCCAAACGCCTCCTGCCGGAGGTTATACGCCGGGATCGTGCGGTCCATGGCCCTCTACGGCGCCACTGTTTGGGCGCCAAACCTGCTGCGGCGGCCCGCTCGGGCGCTGCTCACATCACAGAGGGTCATGGCGATCCGAATGATCCGCAGATACCGCACGATCTCCGGGGAGTCGGCGAACCTCCTTGCCGGATTACCGCCGTGGGATCATATGCGCGCGGAGGCACGTCGCCGGGGTGAAACTCCGCTGCCGCGCCAGATGAGTGCGTGGCGGGATGAGCTCCGGCGCGATCTCATGGCGGAATGGCAGCAACAACTATCGCAACCGAGGGCTGGGCTCGCTGCCATTGCAGCGCTAAGTCCCCTCTTTGAGGAGTGGCTTGAGAGACGCTACGGCGTCCTCACCTACCGCCTGACGCAGGTCCTCACCGGACATGGAAGTTTCGGGAGGTACCTGTGTCTGATGGGGCGGGAGGAAGCGCCCGAGTGTCATCACTGCGAGGACCGCCCTGAGGACACGGTGGAACACACTGTAGCGGAATGCCCTGCGTGGGCTGAGCACGTGCCCTCAGGGAAGTGATCGGCGATGGCGACGTCTCGCGTCCGGGCCTAGTGGACTGGGATGCCGTCTCCTCCTTTTGCGAAGCAGTCATGCTAGCTAAGTAGGAGGCGGGACGCGTGAGGCAGCTAACCCCTTGGCCACAGCCAAGCGCGGCGCGAATTGCGGCGCGAAATGCGGCGCGACAAGCGGTGAGCGGAGAAAACAAATGGTAGACAACGTATGAAGTATGCCACAGCTAACGGCGACGCGAATTGCGGAGCGACCTGCGGCGCGAAAAGCGTCGCGCGACATGCGGCGGCGACGGGCGGCGCGGTGTGCGAGTGAAACAAATGCACTGGGGAGTATCGAGGCGGCCACAGCCAGAGCGGCGTATGCAGCGGCAGCGAGGGGACGAATTTGTGTTCGCGCGAACTAAACAAATCGTTTTGAAAATTTCGCTCCGCATCAAATGGATACCGAAAAACTTATTAGTGAGATATTGATAGTTAGATTAGATAGTTTGGATAGTTCCTATATTCGTGATAAAGCGTGTGAAATTCGCCAAGGTTTTTCCTTTTTTCATTAACTGAGTGCGTTCCAATTTTAGAGTTAATGATATCTTGAGCTAAAAACGCATTAGTCTCAAGACAATATCGTGGCACTTTTGATAGGGCCATTATAAATAATACTGAGTACGTCCACCGCGGACGCCGGCGCGGTCGCAATTAGTAGAGCTGTGGCATACCAACGCAAATCGCGTCGCCCGCCGCGCCTCCCGTCGCACCGCGCGCCGCACCGCTAGAAGCTGTGGCCAGGCTCTGAGAGCTGCCTCCTCGCAACCCAGCCATCGCGAAGGACACACCGGGCGTCGGGGATCGCGGGACGATCTCCCGTCACCGTAAGCGCGGGCCTGCGGACGGCAAGCATGGGTGGCTCCCCGTCCGACCAGAAACAGACCCGAGCGTACGGCGCGTTGCGTTCCGCGCGCGCCTCAAAGAGCCATCAGAACACCACAGATGGGGCCTAATAGGGCCGATGCCGATTCGGAGTCGCGGAGAACCTAACGGGTAACCGGGGCTCCGGCTCGACGTGCAGGAGAAGGAACGGGGTGGTTTTTAGTCAGTAAGAGTCTGACACTCCCTTTCGCCTCACCCAGGCGGGAGCAGTCATTCGATGATTTTCCCCCCTTAAAAAAAATGCATGTATTAATTTTTGAGTTTACATACATACAGACAAATATACGAACAGACAAAAAATCTGTAAACTATATTTTTAGCTTCGGTGCCGTTTGTAGTTTACGCCTCAAGCATTTTTTAAAAAAAATAATCAATGTACAGTTGGTACTTTTCATTGTTGTTCTACATTAATAAAAATTAGGCATCTACTCTATTATATTTATATTATATTAATTCTAATTTCATATAATTAATTAATATTTTTCAAAAATAAGATTTAAATTGTTACTAAGAATTGTCTATGGTTTATGTTTTCTTTATGGTTGTGGGTAGCAACACAAAAAAATGGCGGGAATTTATGAGAGCGGTTGAGCGTCGAAAGAAATGTTTATTGGTTTTTATTTTCAAAAATTTTAAAATCAGTAAAAATAAATTGTAGTTGTGAATTAAAATGTGTGTTTAGTTTTCACTACATTTTATTTTTTTATGTTTACAGGTCAACGTGGCGTCTCCATTTTACTTAAATCTCTTGTTTCGAGAAGAATGCAATAAAGAAATTAATAAAATTGAACAAGAACACTACTACGAGGAAATATTATAGACCTGCTGACAGTTGACACCTCATTGGTCGAGATGTCACCGGCAAGAAATCCGGTTCCAAATCCCACTCCCAACTAGTTTCCACCTCCTTTTAACCCACTTTTCCCACAAAATAATCCATTGTTTATGCAGATTTATTAATGATAATGAGATTAAACTATGACGATGTCTATTATGTAAATGGTGTATATATTAATATATATCTGTCTGTCTGTATTGTTTACGTCCCCTCAACTATTTTCTTCACCCCTGTACACATACAGTAAAATAGTTGTTAATATTTATATGTTTACTAACTCAATGTTTTGTCCTTTCAGCTACTAACTACTAAAAACTACCGCAAAGTTAAGTTCGATGGTTCATTAATCTGCCGTCACCACTTGACACTGGCAGTATAGTCGACAACATCGTATTGAAGACTCGGTTGCCAAAAAAAAACATCCCGGTTGACGGATTCTAGTTTTGGATTGGAATCCAGGTTCGAAGCATTTTTATTAATAACTAGCTGGACCCGGCAAATTTCGCAACGCCTACATATATCTTGGAAATATGTAAATTTGTCAAAAACCGCCCATAATATTATAACCTACAATACACAATAAAACAAACTATATCTAACTTAAGACACAAAAACAGACTAATGCCGGAATACTGAAACGTTACTCAATTTTAAGTCCTGTTTAAATATCGTGCCATCTCTGTCATTTTACAAAGAATTTGTAGAGATAGAACTATACTTAAGCCCGACTTAAAATTGAGTAGCGTTTCAGTATTAGGTACGGCATAAACCTACCAAGCTCCAGACTTCAAATGCATTCGTCTGGCACTATGTATATTAAAATATATGGGCGTATATATTTTAATATATAAAAGCATCTGGGGTTCGATTCCCGGGTCGGGCAAAGTATTACTGGGTTTTTAAAAAAATCTCAGTAGTAGCACGAAGTCTGCGATTGTGCCCGGTATATGGCAATAGGCTCACCCCCTATTACATAGGACTCATAACATAAATAGTGAAAAGTGGGTGTTACATTGTACAGTGGTATAATGTGCATCTCTGCCTACCCCTTTGAGGATAAAAGGCGTGATGTTATGTTATGTTTATAAAAGCATATACCGAAATACATAAAAGAGGCAGAAAACATTAACGTGTTTACATAATAAATTAAAACGGTTACTCATTGAAAAATGTTACTATACCATTAATGAGCTTTTCGATGACCAAACCAGAAAAACCTAATACCCAATGCAGACCTACTCAATAAAAATTCATATTAAATATAATAATACATGTACTACATACAATCCATTCATATAAAATAATGTAGATAACTAACTAAAATTCATAATAGTACATAAACTACATACAATTAACACATATAATAATAGGTACTATATGTATTATTATATTTATTTATATTATTATATGTGTTTAAGAAATTTATGAAAATACTATATGTAATAATTCACTAGGTACATACTTTGTATAAAACAATCTCGCTATCCGCCGTCTATCTGTCCCTATGTATGCTTTGATCTTTAAAACTAGGTACGCAACGGATTTTGATGCCGTTTTTTTAATAGATATCGTGATTGATTTAAACTGTCAAACACCGCGAGGACACCGGTGACTGCAACCTATTGTTCTTTAATTGTGTCTATATTGACGGTACTCGACGAGTTAAGGAAGGTTTATATGTATAATATTGCACCTGTGCGATGCCGGGGCGGGTCGCTAGTATTATAATAAATTAAAGGAAATATGTTAATGTTTAATATGAAAATAACATACCTTATGTTATAATATAATAAGTAATATGTAATAATCTAAATTCTAGATACCTCACTAAAATTTATAATAGTACCTACCTACATAATCTACATACAACTAACATAAATATAAATAGGTAGATACAATACGTTATAATAAATTTAAGGTAAATTTTTAATTATTATTATGAAAATAATAACTTTTTTATGTGATACTATTATAAGTAACTAGCTTCTGCCCGCGACTTCGTACGCGCAATCCCGATATTTCCCGTTCTTGATTTTCGGTAAAAAGTAAAAAAAAGAATTGGGTAAAAAGTATCCTATGTCCGTCTCCTGGTTCTAAGCTACCTCCCCACCAATTTTCATCCAAATCGATTTAGCCATTCTTGAGTTATAAATAGTGTAACTAACACGACTTTCTTTTATATATATAGATTTCATTAGATTAAAGGTATTTTGCTCTAGGTATCTGTTGTCGTGCCCTACTCGGGTTTCATGATGAAACTGTACCCAATTATGTAACACATAGGTGTATGTACACATGATATAATGGAATAAAAATTTAAAATTTAATTTAAATTTTTTCTCTCCTCTTAAACGAACGAACGAACATTTCAAAACACTCGCTTTTTCGTACCCACCTAAACTTGGTCGGATTACCACGATCATTCTCTTCCTAATGACTTTAATCGTATTATCTCAATAATTATCCAATGTACTGAGCTGAAATTTTACTGATATACAACTGAACTAAACAACTAATTATTGACATAACATTCAGTTCATATATCCATTCCAGTGGCCAAATAACACCGCGCGCATCAAGACCGTGCTCGTGAAGAACTCAATATAATCATAACTTGCTCAATACTTACAGGATACTAATGAAACTTTACATACATTTGAAGGCAGTTACAAGCTTTAAAATAACGTTTAAAGTAAGTCTTTCGAGCTCTTATTGAGAGTGCTGGGACCAATTGAAGTGTTTTTCTATATAATGAAATAACTTTTAAACTATTTATTTTTTTTGGTTTTTTATTGCACAACAAATTTGAACTAATTCCTAAGAAGCCATGTACTAAATATGATAAGAATCCGCTTAACCATTTCAAAGATCTAGCTAAATCAAAAACGTTACCCCAGTAAAATCTCGAATAACTTCGCAACCGATGAAAGAACAAATACAAAATAAGGCACAACATTTACTTCATCTAGACAACTAATTTTATAGCTAGTAATTATTTAAATATTCCCATTAGAAAAAGGTCTGGCTGGAGTTTTTTTTTTTAAGGGGGGAAAATCATCGAATGACTGCTCCCGCCTGGGTGAGGCGGAAGGGAGTGTCAGACTCTTACTGACTAAAAACCACCCCGTTCCTTCTCCTGCACGTCGAGCCGGAGCCCCCGTTACCCGTTAGGTTCTCCGCGACTCCGAATCGGCATCGGCCCTATTGGGCCCCATCTGTGGTGGTCTGATGGCTCTTTGAGGCGCGCGCGGAACGCGACGCGCCTTACGCTCGGGTCTGTTTCTGGTCGGACGGGGAGCCACCCATGCTCGCCGTCCGCAGGCCCGCGCTTACGGTGGCCGGAGATCGTCCCGCGATCCCCGACGCCCGGTGTGTCCTTCGCGATGGCTGGGTTGCGAGGAGGTAGCGCTTCGCTGCCTCACGCGTCCCGCCTCCTCCTTAGCTAGCATGACTGCTTCGCAAAAGGAGGAGACAGCATCCCAGTCCCCCTCGCTCCGCATTATGGCCTGCACTAGGCCCGGACGCGAGAGGTCGCCATCGCCGATCACTTCCCTGAGGGCATGCTCAGCCCACGCAGGGCATTCCGCTACGGTGTGTTCCACCGTGTCCTCAGGGCGGTCCTCGCAGTGATGACACCCGGGCGTTTCCTCCCGCCCCATCAGACACAGGTACCTCCCGAAACTTTCAAGTCCGGTGAGGACCTGCGTCAGGCGGTAGGTGAGGACGCCGTACTGTACTGTACTGTACTGTACCGTACTGTACTGTAGCGGAATGCCCTGCGTGGGCTGAGCACCGCCGTGGGATCTGGAGGCGAAGGTGTTTGCGCGCGTGTATCACATGCGCGCGGAGGCACGTCGCCGGGGCGAAACTCCGCTGCCGCGCCAGATAAGTGCGTGGCGGGATGAGCTCCGGCGCGATCTCATGGCGGAATGGCAGCAACGACTGTCGCAACCGAGGGCTGGGCTCGCTGCCATCGCAGCGGTAAGTCCCCTCTTTGAGGAGTGGCTTGAGAGACGCTTTTTTTTTTTTTTTTTTTTTTAAGGGGGGAAAATCATCGAATGACTGCTCCCGCCTGGGTGAGGCGGAAGGGAGTGTCAGACTCTTAAAACCACCCCGTTCCTTCTCCTGCACGTCGAGCCGGAGCCCCGGTTACCCGTTAGGTTCTCCGCGACTCCGCAATTTAAGTATAACCTTTCAGTATTCAAGCGTATATCAATCAGAAAGCTGATTAAATGGCGCTGTGTTGTAAACCGACTAGGCTGTTGAATAAACGGCTGATTTTTATTTTGGCCGTAATTCGATTTAGATCATCCTTACTAATATTATAAATCGGAAAGTGAGTTGGTTTGTTTGTTCCACTTTCACGCCGTAACTGCTAAACCGATTGCTTTGAATTTTTGCAGATGTGAAGTTAGAAGTCTGGATTAAATAATAGGGTACTTTTTATCCCGGACAAATTTGATATTCTCGAGGGAAAACGAAATTATTGGTATAGATGGCGCTGTGTGTATTGGTATGTCACATAGGCTACTTTTTATCCTTTTATGACGCGAGCGAAGCCGTGGGTAAAAGCTAGTGTACCATAAAATTAAACAAATTAATAGTTTAAAACTTCATATATTACAGTTTACATTCTTATTTATTAATTTAGACAAATATTCAATAAACGCTATTCTTAATGTACGCTGCTATTCTTGAAGAGCTCCTTTCCAATCTGTAACACAAAGTTTAAGGTTAGGTGATTCTTAATCTAATGGTGATTAATAAATTTTAATTAATTGTCAGATAATAAATCAAAAGGGAACAATATTTTTCATCAAATATGTATCATTGCGAGCTAGGTGGATCATCATTGTAAAATATAAAAATATTTTAATCGAGTTGGAAGTAACAAAAAAATGGGTAATAGAAATAACCAAGTCAATCAAATTAATATAAATATGAAAGGAATGCTCACCTTTAGAGAAGTGGTGTAGGTAAGATTTATGACCAACAAATTAAATTGAAATAAAAGACACACAATTCAGATTTTTAGATGTATATTAACTTAAACGCTCTCTTGAACGGGAGGTTCGTAGCCCTCAGGGCGCTCCGATTTGTCACCGGCCTCGCCCCTCTTGCCACTACCACCTTCTCCATGAAGTTCCATAAGCTTGGAGATCTCGAAACGCGGCCTCTTCAGAACCTTAACCTGGGGGGATTAAGTTTATTTTGTCAGTTGGTGATTATTAGCAGGGTGGTGATTAATGAAGTTTTGATTAATTTCAGACAATAAATCAAAAGGGAACAATAGTTTTCATCAGGTGTGTATCATTGCGAGCTAGGTGGATCATCATTATAGGTATTTTGTTTCGAGTTGATAAATCTGTTTTCAAAATAATTGCATAGATGTATCAACTCAAAACTGTAGATTTAACCGCATGTCAATGGTATAAAAAAGAAGTCTAAAATGAACTGATTTAAACAATAATTTTGAATTTTCTTACATAAAAGACATGCGGCCAAAATCTTGAAATTAGACATAAATAATAATATTTCTCAGAATACAACATACCTTCCTAATGCAGACATCTCTCAATGGGTAGATGCCGTGGCACGCCTTCTCGATATCCTTGGCAATGGAGTCCGGAATGAGTTTATTGACAACCTCACGGAGTTCAGAGTTGGTCACATCACGGGTGATGATTTCGCACATCTTCTTCCTGATTGCACGGACCTGTTGATATAGTTAGCTATTATTGATATTATGTTTTTTATGCGTCCTTGTCTAGAAATCGACCCGGAACACCAATCTTTAGATCACAGAGTTGTTCCGCGCGGGAATCGAAATTGAAACTGTGCAGCAACCAGTGCCCTAACCATACAGTCATATTAAGATACGTTTAGAGTACGACACAAATTCTGATATTATTATCTGTACTGTTCATACTTAAACGTCGTACAAAATTCATAGAAAACTGTAGTTTTTGACAGTTGCATTGAATTTAACTAGTTTGCAATTACAGACGCTCTTGTTTACAGAGAGACATTCGATGTCTCCACAAGTGTGTCGCAGTCTATTCGTACCTTTGAATAATCATAACAACTATAATAAAAACAAACAATAATAAGAAGAAGAATTGAGAGAGAGAATGTATCAAGACCACGAAAAGCCAAAGGCAAGCCCGAGAGCCGCGTTCGTGGTTCTGACGCCCGAGTATGATGTACGCAGCGGCGGGATGCAGTTATACAGAGCAAGAATAATACCTAAGCTCTTTATAATTGCAGACTGCGAGATGGATGATAATGACACGTATATTTTTACTTTTTCGTAGGAAATAATACTAAGAAATCGAGCCAGTAGTTCCTGATATGAGCACATTAATAAAAGGAAAGCTAGAGGTACATCTGCGCGGGAAAATATTGTACTATGCTAAAAACTGTGTAGATACATTACCTGAGTGTGCTGAGCGTAGCAGGTCTTGCGTTGACTGAGCGAGTCCTTGTTGGTAAAACCGATGCAGAAAACACGGAGCAGGTATCCGTCCGTGGTCTTCACGTCAATATTGGCCTCGACAAGGGTCTGCCATTTCTTGACCATCCATCTGCGAATAAACACGAAATTAATAAAGACCAATACAAGTTTTTATTAGGTTTAAATAACTCTACGGCCTTGGGCGAGGTGAATGTCTGACTCTGACTAAAAGCCACCCCCTTCCTACTCTTGCTTTTCGTGCCGGAGCAGCGGTAACCCATTAAAAACGCCATAGGGCCATAGCCATAGTTTAGTTTATAATTTTCCTAAGATATTTAGAATCTACGGTTCTTGTTATCTTCCGGTAACATATACAAACATTTTGTACGAGAAATAAGTTTGTAGCGACGACACAAGGTGCCAGTGTACATCAAGTACAAGGGCGGTTCAGTGCGGTAGCATTTACTATCTGCAGACTAAAACGATATGAAGACCATATGGTATTCCTTCATATAGCTGGACTGCAGTAATTATTTTTAACCGATTAAACAAAATAACATTCATGTATGTCCGCGAATATCTCGTGATTGACTGAACCGTTGTCGATGCAGTTTTTAGAAGTCTTTGTTACATTTAGGAGAAGGTTTTAATATAAACCAACTCGAATAAAAAAGCAAAAAGAAAGGTTGAAGTCAGTTTGTCAGTTTTTTATAAGTAGATTAATAAAAATTATTGTTTTACTATTAAAATCAAGCATTTGGTTTCGACAGGTCAACCTGGCAAATACCAATGTGACTTTCCAAATTGTATGTACCTCTTAACCCCACGAGCGTCCTTATGAGCACCCGGTGGATCATAAGAAAAAATGCTCCATGCTGCTTTCTCTTTTATAAAATATATTGTTTTGTTTTTATTTTAACTGTATTTCTTATATCTATTGTAATGATCCTCGTTTTCGTGTGCCAATGGCCAAATAAATGTATTTTCTTTCTTTCTCCAAATGTCACGCGTGCACCCGTTGGATCATAAGGAACGCGGACGCTCGACGGGTAAGGTTATTTAGACACCACTGACGAATGGTGAAGGAAAACATCGTGAGGAAAACTTGCCTTATAATATCTAATTATAAGTTTAAAATCACCATCCCACATTGAGCAAGCGTGGTGATTATTGCTCAAACCGTCTCCGTGTGAGAAGTGGCCTTTACTCAGTAGTGGGCAGTGGTAAGCTGATAATGATGAAGAGAGAAATAAAATGATGGTAACACAAACCTGAGCTTGTCAGTGGTGAGGTCCATACCATGGAAGTTGCAGAGAACATTGCGACCCTGAACATCTTCAGCGATCAAACGGAACTTGCGGAAAGACCTGCGAATGAAAACATATGTTTATTATTACATGGTTTATATTTCTTTATTTTTATAGGGTTTATCTATCATATATATGAAACTGTGTGTCAGTTTGTTAAGCAAAAACTACAATTTAAAATCTCAGAAACACAATACTGCTACACCTACTGCTTGTTGCACATCTCTGCATAACCACATAAGATATTTTTGAGGGAAAATGTAGGGGAGTATTCAAAATTAGAAGACTATTCATTAATTTTTATGTAACATTAATGTTTGTAGCGACGACACAAGGTGCCAGTGTACATGAAGTACAAGGGCGGTTCAGTGCGGTAGCATTTACTATCTGCAGACTAAAACGATATGAAGACCATATGGTATTCCTTCATATAGCTGGACTGCAGTAATTTTCAGGTTATTAGATTAAAAATCTAGTTAACTTTGAAGATTAAACTTGATAGCTTGGAAATACAAACTCAAAATAATAATAATAACGTAGCATACTACATAATGTTTTTATATACATATTAACCCGTTGAAAATCATCCCCTAAATTTGTTCATACAAAAGTAGTCTCTACACATTGGAAATAAGGTCTATAATATAGTTAGTAGGGAGCGGTCACCGGTGACCACTATGGGTTAATCAACAACATGACTGGATCAGCACACAGACATAGTGCGACATACTTTTTAAATACAACCTATAGTTTCAGCTGTGTTTTGTCTACCACAACTAGTAACGCTGTGACGCAAATAGTATCTAACTTCAATAGTTAATAGTTTGTATCTATGAACACACTAATCCCTGGATTTAGTGGTTTGAATTTAATATTATATTGTAATTATAATAGTTGTGTTTTATGAGGAATGTTGTCTATAAAAAATCATGTAATGATCAATAGGAATGGAGCAGTGGGTCAAACAGTCTGGGAGTAGAATAGACTAGTAAATTATTTACTGTAAATAATAAATTGATGCAGGTTACCGAGAACTCACCTTTCAGCATCAGTGTCGGCTTGAAGATCGGCCAGCGACACTTCAAAGACACGGCCCTTCAAACCTTCAGAAGCGATTTTGGTGCCCTAGAAAGCAAAAATACAGATAATATTAGAGATAATACTACTAAAATGTGTTCAAATTCTGATTTTATGAATTTGTCAGCATTAAATCAAAAGGGAACAATAGTTTTCATCAGATATTTATCATTGCGAGCTAGGTGGATCATCATTTTAGGTTTTTTAATCATTATTAGTCATAGACAATGGTTACTACTTACAAAACTTAAATGGATGAACTCTATGGTGATTTTGAATATATTTTTTTCTTAATATGTATGAAGTATGGGATACAAAAGGTTAATTTTCATTTTACTTGCAAGTTTGTACTTACAAAAACTATGGTATGGTGATGCATTGAGTTGATAAAGTTTTGGAAACAAGTAATAATTAACTACAGCAATTTATTTATGTGTCCCCAAGAAGGGACACAAACACCACATGTGTTTGTCTATTATGAACAATAACAATACATGAGATAAAGGTGCAAGGTGCAACCTTGTAGTTTCTAAAACAAATATATTAACAAAACCTTGTCATAAACATCAGACACTAAGGGACATCTTTGATTGTCTTAACTCTTAGTAAGTACTTATTTAGGTTATGCACAAGTCTAGGGTTCAAATAAAGCAGAAAACTTAACCATGTGGTATTTTTGACAATAAATTATACATCTTTTACATAGATTTCATCGATTCCCGCATCAAATAACCATAAAGTTTAATTTTAGCAGTAAGTAGAACCAAAATCCAAGACATCTAAGTATTCAGCCTAAGTCTAAGAGGTTAGAGTTAACATACCTGAGTACGGTTGACAAGGGTGGTTCCCACTTGCCTCTTGGTGAACATAGACGGAGCCTTGACATCGTACCAATCTTTACGGGTGAAGGGATCGACACTGAAAATGTACAAGATTTAAACATAACCTCAAAATGTTACAACCAAAAACTCACCAAATTCCATAAGAGTAACATATTTAAGATTGCAATTTTCTCAAGAACACATATAACATCATGAACAAAGCACTAGAACTAGTAATTCACTGATAAAATAAAGTTTTAACATGATAACACCATGACACGAGACTGTTTAACTTATATCCGAAAATATTCGCGACATCACATTTTACACAGATTCGGTTTTAGGTTTAGCGAAAAGATTAATATATTCTTCAATAAATTTGAGGTTTATTGGACACTTACATCTTCTTCTTAACACCCTTTTTACCGCCTTTCGACAGGCCTTTATTTTTACCAACCGCCATGTTCACTATCTAACTTTAGAAAGACTTTATTTTGTTTATGGATGCAGGAGGCAGAGGAGGACTGTCCAAAGACAATATAGAGTGAGCGTAACTCCCAGTAACTCCGCTATCGATAATAGACGTGTTATAGTTATAGTCGATTTTGTAAAACTTACTAAATTTATACAATCGATATTTCATAAATTACTAATGTAAAGTATTTGTTTGAGTAATTAATACTACTCAAGGCACTACCTTTTTAATTTTAAATGATTTGTCTCGATTTTATTTCTAAAAAGTTTATTTCAATATTGTGAACTAAGGTATATTTAAAGTGATTCGATTTAATATGTCTGAATCCTTTATTTCAACATCCTCTTCCTCTCAATATAAACTCAATTATTACATTTCGATATACGTCCCTATCCTAAATCTGTAAGCCACCGTCTCAACAAATAGCCTCTTCAACCGGCGTGGAACAACTCTTGCTAACTGTTACGGCGTCTGGGTGAAATAATAGGAAACTGACCCCCCATACAGAATCCTCGAATCCCTTATCCTCAAATTCCCAAAAGAAAGTCACTTAACCTATGAATAAAATAAGTGATATGCGCCTGTGACAATTAATATTGCAACCAAAAAATACAACTGAAGTATGACTATTTGCGCGGTGACTATATCAGGCGCTTTTGTTTCAGAAATATTGAAACTAACAATAGTATCTACACAACTATCATAAACACAAATCCCCATAATATTATAAACAATATTATTGCAGCCGCGTACGTCGAAAGCAATGTTATCGACATTAAGGAATTTTCTTACTTGCTTAAATTTGTTCTTGGTTATTTACGTACGTAAATAGGCGTTTAAAATATTGTATTATTTTTAAGCCCCAATGATTAGATTTTTAAGTTGGTATGGTTGTATAATATATGTACATACCACCGGGTGAAACCCAGGGTGGAGCAAATGTCCTACCCTGTCCCATTGTGGCTATGCCCATGCTAATCCCTGCTGCTATTATTCCATGTTTAAGGTATTACTACCTAATGGTAGGTAATATCATCGTTTTTAATGTTATCATGAATTTCTAAGACAGTAATCCGACGCGAATGAAATTGTTGTTAAACTATTTTAATGAGTGGCTTGTCAGATGTATGATTCGCAGAAACAGATAGGTACTTGATGGAAAAATTACCTCTTATCAAAATAATGATATTTTAATCAGCTTATATAAAACATCTGCAACCCAACAATATGATTCATGATAGGTACACAATTATGTTGTTTACACCATCACATACGACTTAAAAAATATGACTCAAAGGATGCTTTCCAGGTGTTCAGCCTCATATGACTAAAAAAAAATTCGAGACTCATCTAGGTATAATGATCAATATCTATCAACGCAAAATGATCGACTAATCAAATATTTATGATTGTTTTTTTTTACCGACTACAAAAAAGAGGTGGTAAACTATGGTCGGCTGATTGTTCTTTTTTGGTTTCTTCGCCGATTACTCCGCCATTTTTCAACCGATTTCCAAAATTCTTATTTTGTTTGAAAGGGTATAATCCCGAAATGGCCCTATTTCCATGAGGTCAGGATCCTGATGATGAAATCGTAGGAAAGTCGAGGGGAACTTTCGAAACTTGTAAGGGCAAGTAATGCGTCTAGTAATATCAGTGCCATAAGCTTATATTATTATCATAATGATATAACTTAGTGGCCACGGTTTTAATGAATAATTTTGTTAGAACTTATGGCGCCTACTTTTAACCTATCAGTTGGTGGGGTGGGTAACCTATCAGAACTAATAATAGTTATTTTTATATGCTTTTTAGTTTTTACTTTTTGTGTGGTAGGTATTACTTTTTGGTTTCTTGAAGTCGGTTTTTTAAGCGTAGTTTTTATTTTTGATTACGTTCAAAATATTACTCAATAACAATAATACTGTACACATCTACAAAAAAGATTTTTCTTTTCATGTATGAATAATAATTCTTAAATAGTTTTTCAACCTAATGATTTTGTAGTAAAGTTGAAAGTCGAACAGATTTCTGTCATAAGCATTGTTTAGACTTCCAACCCCTAGATGGCTCACTGAGTCTCTTTGTCATTAGATATTATTCTGCCCATCAGCATTGTTCGTCCACGTGGAAGAGCCACGTTTTGGCACGAAAGGCCAAAGCAGGGTTGTAGACTAGATTTTTTTTGTTTTTTTTTTTTGACGACTGGAAATCATACAACCATTTCTCCCGCCCTGGTGAGACGAAAGGGAGTGTCATACTCTTACTGACTAAAAGCTACCGTTCCTACTCCTGCACTTTGAACCGGAGCCCCGGCAACCCATTAAGTCCTCTACGGCTCCATATCGGCATCAGCAATATTGGGCCCCATCTGTGGTGGTCTGATGGCTCCTTGAGGCGCGCGCGGAACGCGACGCGCCGTAATGGGTTGTGGTCGGGCGGCGAGTCATCCGTGCTTGCCTCCTCCTTAGCTAGCATGACTGCTTCGTAGAAAAAGGAGACGGCAACCCAGTCCCCCTTGTTCCGTACCATGGTATGAACCTGAGGCGGACGCGAGAGGTCTCCGTCGCCGATCACATCCCTGAGGACACGGCGGTGCTCAGCCCACACAGGGCACACCGCCACCGTATACTCCACTGTGACCTTCGCGGGCGGTCCTCGCAGTGATATATATCGATCTATGATATATATCAGTGATGATATGGTATGTATATGTCTATTTATAAAATATTGTATTAATATATTTATTCTATAGGTATTTATGTGTGTAGTATACATATTACATAACTTTTTTTTTTGATTGTGTTCTGGCTTCGCGACCACTTCATTTCTTTGCACTTCCCTATGGTTGACTGTAAGAGAATGCCTTAAGGCATTAAGTCCGCCATTCACGGTATTTTGTGAAGAAGAAATAAATAAATAAATAAATCACATACCCGGGCGTTTCCTCCTGCCCGATCTGAAACAGGAACCCACCGAAACTTCCGAGTCCGGTAAGCACTTGGGTCAGGCGGTAGGTGAAGACGCCGTAACGTCTCTCAAGCCACTCCTCAAAGAGGGGACTTATCGCTGCAATGACAAGGAGCCCAGCACTCGGTTGCGACGCGTTGCTGCCATTCCACAATGATATAGCGCCGGCCTCATTCCGCCACGCACTAGTTTGGCGCGGAGTATTGCCCCGGAGACGTGCCTCCGCACGCAAACAAAAGACGCGCGCGAGTACCTCCGCTAGAAGACTTGTCTAAACCTTTTGAACATTTTCTGTGTTCCACCACTCATGTCGTATTTCTGCGACAGAGAAGATGCGTGACTTTTAGTCGACTTTAAAAAAAGAGGGGTTGCAGTTGGTTTCTTTGAACGTAGATTTTGTTTTAAATATTTCGTTCTATTAACACGATTGCTCTTCATTTATTTCCTGCATTTATTGCAGGTATTTTTTTCGTATTATAGTCACGTGCTATAAGCATGGTGTTTTTAAAAGGTTAATAATTGTTTAATGCTAGTAGACTAGATATGGATGGGCGATTTTTCGGATAAATACTCAAAATCCATAAATACTGACTTATCGAGTAACTATTAAGTATTTACTTACCTGTTTTTACTAGAGTATTTTTCCAAAAATGTGGTTAATAGTATCTATTCGTGTATTATGTAGAGTTAAATACATATATTCGTGTAAATATAGTTAATATAGAGATACAGCCATTAGCTAACAACGACGACAAAAATAAATTTTATACTCCAATCTGCGACATACAAAAATGGCATCATAATAGGTTCAGTGACAATGAAGTGTTTCACAAACAGTTTCGTTGTTCCAGTGCTGCAGGTGCAGAGTACGCCTATAGTCGTTTTTTTTAATTGTATATTTCTTGGCAAAACCACCCCTTACCTGAAATATAAAGTTAATTGTCTCAGTTAGGGCTATGACATTTCTAATAAATTCCATTGAGTCTATGGTTGCATTGTTTTACTAATTACTTAAAATTAAATAGGTAAAGTAGCACATAGGTAAATAGAAATGACCAGATTTAAGTATAAAAATACGAAGAAATCATTTGTAAAGTCTTAAGATATCTCGAAGATTGATATAACTCATGCTTTATCTCCTTTACATCGCGTGGTAATTTAGACCAAAGTGCGAAATAATTTGCGGATCGTCAATATCTCATAGGGGTTCGTCATCCTAATCATAGAGTGAGTCATAAACAAATTAACACTCATTCGTTCACTTACTCGTTCACGTGAGTTTATGAAAACGAATGATTCTCTTCATTCATTTCAATCAATCAACCGCGCCGCAAGAAAGCTGTCGTGTCGTGTTTGTATTTATTTTACAAAAACCGATAGCTCGTGATATCGCATTGCTTCATAACTTTTTAGTTGAGTGTTTAATAGCGCGCGTTGTGAAGTTTTTCTAATGTTATTATTATAACTAGTAAACTAGGAGTGTTTCAAACATGGGTGCTCGCGTATCCAGAACCGATTTTGAGTGGGTTTATACTGAGGAACCTCATGCGAGCCGCCGGAAAATAATCCTAGGTACGTTATTACGTCATGTATCGTATATAGAAACCATTTGAACGTACGTAGATGTAATATTAAACGAAATCTAGGCAGTCAGTGTTTGATGTCTCACTCCTTTCGGTCTAATTAGAAAAAAAGTTCACGGTCGTGCCGGAGAGTCGTGGGTTCTCCGGTTGACAACAGTTATTTAGTCATCAATTTATGTATTATGGTTATCTCCGTAGTAATTAATTGTCGTATTTTTCGACTCTGTTTTTTAGTCGAACAATGTAAATTGATAGCTTTATTTCGTATAACAATTTTATTATTCGGAAACAAAAAATCTCATTTGTTTGAGCCGGCAATCGCACATAATTTTTTTTATCATTAGAGTTGACCCTGAGTTTATGTAGAGATTATGCCTTGACATTGAGTAAATGGCTACATTCCTTGTTTTGCAAAACTGCTTTCTGCCTAAATCATTACTCAGGATAACATCATATTTACTATAGACAAATTAATTGGCTGAATGGTCATATAACATGGACTTATCTGTATGTTAAAAAATAATTATCAATCTATTTGTTGTTTACTTACTATTTAAATATATTTAACTACATAAGTAAATATTTACAACTTAAAATTAACTACAACTAAAGTATTGAATAAAACGAAATTAAAAAATAAAACAAAAATAATTGATTGTAAAAAAGTTGTAAAGTAAATTAAATGATAAAATACATGTTTTTCTATAAACTGAGTATATTTTTAAATAGATAACCATTTAATGTGGTTTCTGCCTGAGTAAAAGGAGTATAGAACAGTGCCTGATTATGCTCACCAATTAAACTTACATTCTACAAAATTGTAAATTTAACTTTAAAAAAAAAATCTCGCACTATTTTACCCGCTGCTCGGCTCCTATCGATTGTAGTGTGATGTTTTATAGTCTTGCTATATAACAACAGCCTTGTTCAATAAACGGACTAATCATTAAAAAAAGAATTTTTTTAATTGGACTGGCGCTTCTAGAGTTGGGCACAATCAAATACACATATAAACTCTTCAGCATTTATGAATAGTATACACATCAACAGCCTATAATGCTCACTGCTGAGCAAAGCCTCTTCTTACACAGAGAAGGTTTGAGCATTAATCACCACGCTTACTCAATGCGGGTTGGGGATTTCAAACTTATAATTAGAAATTATAAGCCCAAGTTTCCTCATGATGTTTTCCTTCACCGTTTGTCAGTGGTGTCTAGATAATCTTAGAAAATACATATAACTCGGAAAAACTCACATTGGTACTTGCCATTGGTAGTTTTCGTACCTGCACCTTCATGCATGAGAAGCCAGTGTCTTAAACCTCTGACACTGACATACAATATTATATTTCTGAATCTGCATTAATAGTATAGATTGGTTATATAAAGGAATGTATAATTTTGTATTGTATTGTATGCAAAACGATGAAATGATGAATGAAATGATGAATGAAATATTAACATGAATGTAAAGATAGCTTGTTATGAAACTTGTATGATTTACATACTATGTTTCGAAGTGGGTGGCAATTAGTCTTGATTAATATGTTTCTAGTATAATTTGTGCAAAAGCTTCTCATATGGAGAAGGAATGAGCATTGATGACCACCCTTCAGATTAAATATCATAATAATAAAAATGTTGTCCCACACTAGGAAATTCTCCTGTTTCGTGGGTGCGTTTACAAACATACAAGTTCACGTGACACCCAAACCAGAAACAACAGTTTGAGGATGCCACGAAGAGTTGTTCTATACAGGAATCGGACCCGTTCCATGACGCACGGTGGCTGGTTATCTGGCCACTGGACCAACCATGCAGGCTTATAATAATAATACCTAATATAGGTGTCAAGTGTAGGCATTATTGTGTCATATTAATAATATTTCATCATTTAAGTACTTATTTGAATTATGCTGATATTTTTTGATATATTAGGCTTAAAAATTACCTCATTACCACTGATCTGAAGTCTCGAGGTTGATTCTTGAGCCGGAATAAAATATTACATTTTTTATACCCAATAGTTGTTAATAGTGGAGTCTTTTAGTTTCATTAGGACGAATAAAATCTTTCAATTAGGAAAGTATCATATAGTCATACTCATACTAGTCTCTAAAGTCAAATCAAAATCAAAGCATTTATTTCAATTAAACCATAATTTGGTACTTTTGAAACATCAACAAATACAAAATGAATAATAGTCTGTCAGTCAGTCCGTCAGTGCAGCTGGGTGCTCATTCAAAAATGTAGATTAGAATAGAGAAGAACAAGCAAGAAATTCCATTCATTACTCTTTTTAAAAAAGTATTTTCTACAATGTCTCTGATACATATTCCAATACTGTACGTATATGTGAGAACAATGCAAAGACACGCTTTACGCATTATAGGTATTAATTACAAACCTTACTAAAATAATAATAATAAAAAAAATCTTATAGTCTCTCTAAAATAACATAACATCATCACGCCTTTTATCCCCGAAGGGGTAGGCAGAGGTGCACATTATACCACTGTACAATGTAACACCCACTTTTCACTATTTATGTTATGAGTCCCATGTAATAGGGGGTGAGCCTATTGCCATATACCGGGCACAATTCTAGACTCCGTGCTACTACTGAGAATTATTTAAAAATCCAGTTATACTTTGCCCGACCCGGGAATCGAACCCGAGACCCCTTGCCCGGCAGTCGCACTTGCGACCACTCGACCAACGAGGCAGTCCTCTCAAATCTTTCTCTAAATTGACCAACAAGTCATATTGCATAACATTAGCTAATTTAAAAATCGTTTTATCCGTTTAGCTATCTGACGTGCTCATAAAAATACCGGTTATATGTATTTTAACTGAAATAAGTATGTAGATAAGAGACCGTTAAGATCGTGATTGTGATAACAGAAATATTTTAACTAACACAATCATGATTTTCTATAGCTGTTTTATTGAAGACAGACATGTCGTAGTGGCCCGGAGGTTTAAGACACCCGTTTCTCATGCATGAGGGCGCCGGCAACTACCAACGACAAGTACCAATGTGACTTTTTCCGAGTTATAATATGCACTTTCTAAGATTATTTAGACACCACTGTCAAACGGTGAAGGAAAACATCGTGAGGAAACCTGGGCTTGTAATTTCTAATTAGAAGTTTAAAATCGCCATCCCGCATTGAGCAAGCGTGGTAATTAATGCTAAAATCTTCTTCTGACTCTTACTGACTAATAACCACCCCATTCCTACTCCTGCACTTCGAGCCGGCAGCACTTTAAGTCCTTCATGGCTCCGTATTGGCATCAACCTTATTGGGCCCCATCTGTGGTGGTCTGAGGGCTCTTTGTTCGTCAAATGCTAAGCCCCTAATTCAGCTCTCACGTTACTCGCGAGAGGAGATAAGGTGATAAAAAATATGTTCTTTATTCTGTTAGCACACGTTTGCATATATTGCTTCGTAGTATAATGGTAGTGATTTATTTACTTAGTACCTCTTATAAAAATAAATTATGAATGCCACCAATTCAATACGTTTCTCACATCTCCAGTTAACTATTCGAGATTATAATTGTAATAGGATTATGAATAATTGTATTTTTATTGCCCTATAATAAAAAAAACGTGTTCACTGCGAATAACTTAGGTAATTTATGAACGATCGCAGATATGATATCGGCCGACATTCTTTTAATAGGTACCTAAATACGCATCATAATATTATGTTACCTAATTGTAATTATTAGGCATCGTCATAAGGTAGTGTTCACATGTAAACTAAACTCAATTTATGACGAACGCAGATATGCTATCGGCCGACATTCTTTAATTAGATAATCCAAAAATACGCATCGTAATATTTTGTTATTAGGTATCGTCATGAGGTAGTGTTTACATGTAAACAGCAGCTCATATAGTGTAGATGTCTAGCCAACAAGGATGTAGTGAGGTTGACTGTCCAGGCGACACACGTACTTAGGTATCGTCATGAGCTAATGTTCACATGTAAACAGCAGCTCATGTAGTGTAGATGTCCAGTCAACAAGGATGTAGCGAGGTTGACTGTCCAGGCGACACACGTACTTAGGTATCATCATGAGCTAATGTTCACATGTAAACAGCAGCTCATGTAGTGTAGATGTCCAGTCAACAAGGATGTAGCGAGGTTGACTGTCCAGGCGACACACGTACTTAGGTATCGTCATGAGCTAATGTTCACATGTAAACAGCAGCTCATGTAGTGTAGATGTCCAGTCAACAAGGATGTAGCGAGGTTGACTGTCCAGGCGACACACGTACTTAGGTATCGTCATGAGCTAATGTTCACATGTAAACAGCAGCTCATGTAGTGTAGATGTCCAGTCTACAAGGATGTAGCGAGGTTGACTGTCCAGGCGACACACGTACTTAGGTATCGTCATGAGCTAATGTTCACATGTAAACAGCAGCTCATGTAGTGTAGATGTCCAGTCTACAAGGATGTAGCGAGGTTGACTGTCCAGGCGACACACGTACTTAGGTATCGTCATGAGCTAATGTTCACATGTAAACAGCAGCCCATGTAGTGTAGATGTCCAGTCAACAAGGATGTAGCGAGGTTGACTGTCCAGGCGACACACGTGCTTAAGTATCGTCATGAGCTAATTTTCACATGTAAACAGCAGCTCATGTAGTGTAGATGTCCAGTCAACAAGGATGTAGCGAGGTTGACTGTCCAGGCGACACACGTACTTAGGTATCGTCATGAGCTAATGTTCACATGTAAACAGCAGCTCATGTAGTGTAGATGTCCAGTCAACAAGGATGTAGCGAGGTTGACTGTCCAGGCGACACACGTACGTAGGTATCGTCATGAGCTAATGTTCACATGAAAGTTGAGTAGTTTCATTCTCAATATAACGAAGTATTCATATACAGTATTTGAATTAACCGTCAGTTGTTAACTAACGTTAACAATGTTCTATAAACTTGTTACAAGTACCTCTGCGTCTAATTAGA